GAGCCGCCGGCGCCGCCGATCCCCGCGCGCACTCACCCAGCGCCAGGAGCGCCAGCAGCAGCGGCCTCGGCGCCAGGCGCCCCATGCTCGCCGGACGGGAGCGACTCTCCCCCTCCTCCGCCTTCCCCGCCGCCTCTCCTCCTCCTCCTCCTCCAGCTCCGACTGCTCCAGAGTCAGCGCTCCTCCGCCTGGGCCGCGCGCTTGCTCCGCTCTCCTCTTGAGCCGATAAATCCCAGGGCTGGGGCGTGCGTGCGCCCCTTTCTCAGCTCCCCCTCTCCCTCTTCCTTCCCTTCCTCCTTCTGCCGCCTGGGGACGGGGATCGGGACACCCGAGCCGGCCCTGCCGATCCGAGTGTGCGGCCCCGCCGATCCGAGTGTGCGGCCCCAACCGCTTGCCGAAAGCAAAAGGAAAGAACCGCAGCGCCCGCCCGCCCGCGCCTCCCATCCGGCGCTTTGCCAGCAACAAACACAAACTTTCCCAAGCCCCTCCCCGCTCCAGGTAACGGAGGAAGCGTCGGGGCCACCAGCTTAAAGGGGAGGAGGCGTCGGATACCACCCAGCTCTCCCCTCGGGGCCCCAACTCCACGATAAACTTTCCTCCGACCTTTAAAAGTTGGCCCTGGGAAGAGTTGTCTGGAAATCTCATCCCTTTGGCCCTGTAACAGGACACCCCCTCGTTGCACCACACTTGTGTCACCCACGAGAGTCTACAAATCCCTCAAGCTAACTCCCCACACGCACACCCTCTCGTCCAGGCTAAGCACCTCACTATCCAGCCGCTTGGCCCTCGGAAAGGATCCTGAAAGAGCTGGAAAGACTTTAAATGCCATGGATTCCAACCCCCTTTATTTTAGAAGGAAGCACAGAAGCCTAAATTGTTTAGGTGACAAGGATTCACAGCAAAGTGGCAAGGCCAGAACTGACTCTCTCCACTACCCTATGTCTGGATGGGCCTTGCTGCCCTTGCTACCCACTTCCCTCCCTCTCCAGAATGGCTATGGCACTCATTAGAGCAGCTTCCCACAAATACACTCGTTTTTTCAAAACCCCAAGTATATTAATAGCTACAGTACTTTATATGGAATGTACTCTTAAGACTTTACGTTTATTGCTTTAAGAGGACACAATCGGTTGCCAATAGAGACTTCTTTTTCTCCGACAATAGGGTTTTGTGCTTTTGATTTGAATACAAAAGGCCCCACAGTATTGGGAAAGTAGTTAATGTGCATTGTTTAAAACTTCACAAGGATGGTTCAGACATATGGGGAGTTGTACTCAAGCCCACTGCCCCCCTCCTCACAGCCTTTCATTAATACATGCAAAACAAAGCACAGATGTTAATGGGAAATTGCCCAGATTGGGGGAGGGGAGCACTGCTATTACTCTGATGCATCATTATTGCCATTAACAAGTGTATCTTTAGCCAGGTGTGAACATTTTGGAAAGAAACTTAAAAACTTTTTCCTGCCAGGGAGACTTTGTCATGCTGTCCACCCACCCTGTAATTTCTTTCCCCTTTCTGTCCCAATCTTTTCCTAGAATTTGTCTGGGAAGTTTTTTAATTTAATTCAAACGATCTTGAATGCAAGCCTACCTAATGCTAGGTCTTGGAGGATGATGGAGCTACAGAGAAGAGTAAGGCCTGGTCCTCCAGAAGCTTGAGTGTCGGCTCATTCCTGTTCTTAACCGCTCAGTGTTTAATGTCTGAACCACACATTTTGGCACTTGGTCACATTCAGTGCAGCACCACATATTATACACTACTCTCATCTCTGTCTAATAATGGAAGGGCCTAGGGACTGTTATATTCTCACCTTATTATTGCAGAGTTGATGTTTGCTAAAATTCTTGTTTAACAAAGAAGTGCAAGTCTGGGAGTGTGTATGATACACAGTAGGTCTCCAACAAATATTAATAGAGTGAATTGATGCCAGGCACTGGGCTACACCCTGGGGATACAGAGATGACTAAGGTGCTTACAATCTGGAGGAGAGGGAGGGAAATGTGTAAATAAAGAAGGGCATCATGACTTAGTGTGATAGAATGTACAAGGTAGAGCAGAGACACAAGGAAGTGGTCAAGTCCTGGGAAAGGGTGTGAGAAAAAGTTTCAAAGAGGGGATGACTTTGAAATGAATACATCTTTTGCTGTGAGGTGGAGGGATGAGCTTGCAGTGTTGTTAGTTGCCATGGAGTCAGCTGTGACTCATAGTGAACCCATGTACAACAGAAGTAAGTGCTGCCTGGTTCCACATCATCCTCATGATCGCAGGCATGCTTGAGTTCACTTTTGCCTTCCAGCCTAGGGGACTCATCTTCCAGCACTATATCAGACAATATTCTGTTGTGAGCCATAGGGTTTTCATTGCTAATTTTAGGATGTTGATTGCCAGGCCTTCCTTCCTACTCTGTCTTAGTCTGGAAACTTCACTGAAACCTGCCCACCATGGGTGACCCTGATGGTATTTGAAATACTAGTGGCATAGCTGCCAGCATCGTAGCAACAACACACAAGCTACCACAGTACAACCGACAGACGGGTGGTGGGAGTTTATACTGGATGTGTACATTTCATATGATAGAGTTTCTTCCGTCCCCCTCAAGTTTTATTAAGTTAATTGTGCATCTTAACAATCATGAAGTAACAGCAGTTAATAGTTTAAGTGGGCATCCCTGGGTGGTGCAAACAGTTAACATGCTTGGCTGCTAACCAAAAGGTTGGAGGTACCAGCCCACTCCTAGGTTCTTCAGAAGAAAGATCTGGCTATCTAATTCCAAAAAATCAGCCATTGAAAACCCTATGGAACACAGTTCTACTGGACATGCATGGGGTCGCCATGAGTCAGAACAGACTCATTGGCAATTGGTATTAGTTGAAGTAGTAAGAATAATTAAGACTGTCCAGGGATAGTGTTGCGGATTGAATTATGTCCCCTAAAAAATATGTGTTGTAAATTCTAACCTCTATGGCTTTGGTTATAATCCCATTTGGGAATAGGTTGACTTTGTTATGTTAATGGGAAAGGATTAGCATAGGGTGTGTCTTGAGTCTATCTCTTACAAAATATAAAAGGAACAGCTTAAGGAAGCAGAGATGGGGGAAGAGAAATACCAAGCCACATGAACATCACCCAGGAGCAGAAGCCCAGAAGAAGACAGGGACCTTCCTCCAGAGCTGACAGGGAAAGAAAGCCTTCCTATAGAACTGGCACCATGAATTCAGACTTTTGGCCTCTTAACTGTGAGAAAATAAATTTCTATTTGTTAAAGCCATCCACTTGTGGTATTTCTGTTATAGCAGCACTAGATAACTAAGACAGAATTTGGTACCGGAAGAGTGGGGTGCTGCTCTAACCAATACCTACAATGTGGAAGCGGTTTTGGAGTTGGGTAATGGGTGGAGGCTGGAAGGGTTTTAAGGTGCCTAATAGTGAAAGCCTGGATTGCCTTGAAGACATTGTTGGTAGAATTATGTATGTCAAAGGCAATTTTGGTGAGGGCTCAGAAGGAAGCAAGGAGAGCTATAGAGAAATTCTCTATCGTCTTAGAGAATACATATGGCACCAGCAACAGAATATTGCTAGAAATGTGGACATTAAATGTGCTTCTGGTGAGGCTTTAAAAGAAAATGATGAACATGTGATTGGACAGTGGAGGAAGGGTGATGCTTTTTATGCAGTGGCGAAGAACTTGTCTGAATTGTGGTAGAAGGTAGAACTTGTAAGTGATGAACTTGGATATCTGGCTGATAAGATTTCTAAGCAAGATCTTGAAGAGGCCAAGTGGTTTCTCCTTGTTGCTTATAGTACGATGAGAGAGGAAAGAGATGGACTTAAAAATGAACTGTGCAAAAAGAAAATAGAACTTAAAGATTTAGAAAATTCTGTGGTACAAACTAAGGACATGTGTCCTAGAATGTTCACCAAGGACGTAACTACACAACCTTTTGTTAAAGAGATTATACCTGTGACTGATGGATCTAACCAACTACCACAGCAGAAAATCCATCAGTTTACACTGAAGGGGACAGAGAAAGAAAGAAAGAAAGGAGAGAACATTGTCTGCCTCTTGGAATTCTACAGGCAGGAACCAGGCCAAAGGAGCCACACCTGTTGTCCTCCAAGAAAAGAAAAGGACCATCCCTGGAGCAGCTCAGAGATCAGCAGAACTGTTGGAAGGAACATGGGAAGAAGGGCCTTCTCGGTTTCAAAGGGTGGGGCCATGGTCTCCCGGATCTCTTAGGGTGGGGCCACAGCCTTCTAGGTTTCAAAGAGTCAGATCTTCACCATCTCGATTCTGGAGTGTGGGGCTGCCATTAAAGTGTACCAGGGGGATGAGACCACCACTCAAAGCTGAGAGGGCAAGGCTGCCATGCCCAAGGGGCAGAAGAATGGGTCCTGCCAGGGCTGAGGGTGTGGAGTTGGAACTCAGATGGGCTAGGAGAATAGGGCCACCCAAAGCCAAGGGAGCAGAGTTGCCCTCCCAGTGGGCCTGGAAGGTGGAGATGTAGCCCAGGGCCGAGGGGCCTCCACCCAGAATCCAGAGGGCATGGCCAACATCCAGAGTCTGGAGGACAGGGCCATTGCCCAGATGGTCCCAGAAAAGACAGGATTATTTTCAATCCTTGAGAGCTAACGTAAATTGTTCTGCTGGGTTTTGGATTCGCTTGGTGCCCATTATCCCTTCTTTCCCTCCAATTTCTCCCATTTGCAATGGAAATGACTACCTTGGGCCTATTCCACAATTGTACTTTGGAAACAGATAACTTGTAGTCTAGATTTTGTAGGTTCACTGATGAAAAGGATGGAATACGCCTAAAGTCTCACCCATATTTGATTTAGAAGATGAAATTTGGACTTGGAGTTGATTTAAGACTGTTGCAATGATGTGGTGGGGTAAATGTGTTTTGCATATGGTAAGGACATGGATTTGGGAGGGGGGTGTAAAGGGTAGGTGGAATGTTATAAATTGAATTATGTCCCCCAAAATTATGTGTTGTAAATCTTAACCTCTATGGCTGTGGTTATAATCCCATTTGGGAATAGGGTGTCTTTGTTACGTTAATGAGACAGGATTAGTGTAAAGTGTGTCTTGAGTCAACCTCTTACAAAATATAAAA